TAAATAATATATGTAATATATTGTTATATAAAAAGTTATATAATTTTTTTTTCGAGTCATTTCGAGCCGAACACGAGCGAACAAACTGTTGTTCGTGTTCGGCTCGTTTACATTTCGAGCTTAGAAATTTGTTCGTGTTTGGCTCGTTAGGCTTAACGAATGAGCCGAACACAAGCTGTTCACGAACAACGAGCCAAATTGACAACCCTAGTTGAGGGCAGATAGAGGGGACCTGCGTCGAGGTGTATCCCCCATTGGGTCAAATATAGACTCGGGGAACTCAAAGATTTCATATGCTTCGACTTATAGCCAACACTCAGGAAACTCGTACTTGAGCAGTGAGGCCAAAAACGATGTCAAAGACGGCTAATAGGCAAATACATAAAAAATGACGTATAATGCTCCCGCATCGTGAACCTTGGTCTCTGAACTTGAATCAAATAAGGCTTTAGATCTGGTTCCCTTCTCAGCAGCGATAGGCTTCGACGAAATGTGCTAAGCAAATCATCTCAGTAGCAAGATTTAAAGATTACCCTCGTGAAAGCAGCTATGAGATCCGTTTAATAAGCCTAACACAAGGGATAATCCTGTCAGGGGAAATATGACCAAGCAACTGAGAAGTGGAAAGTGTAAGACATGAGTCGGTCATCAATAACAAAAATTGATAGCTACATAAGATGTCTAATCGATACATAATTTTCCAAAAATTAAAAACGGCGTAAGACCCCTTATCGGTATAACATCGAAGCTTGACCGATAGTAAAGACTAACGTCTGACTCAACATCAAGTATTGAAAATCCCATCTCCTAGCTCGACACAAGTCTAGTCCTAGAGATAATTCCTCACTCATTAGCGATAAGATACACATTGAGTTGCATGCAAATCATCGTTGAGGTGAGTATGGTTATCCCTCATGGAAGTAGTGACAAAAAATGTGTTTGGCTTAAAGTGAGACCCAATCAAGGAGACTACTTAACAGAGCGAAAGAGATATGGAGGGAATAAGACTTGAGTCAAGAAGTTAATATAAATAAAAACTGACATAAAAAAACATCTCAAAATTGATCACTTTACCACGCACAAGATCGTAAGCAATCGAGTTGTAAAGTAGAATACAACAAAATTAAAGTAACACGGGTGTAAAAATGACAAAAAGCTTTCATTATAAGAAATTTTATATACAATTATTCTCCATGACTATACAATTCAAATGACAGCAGCCGAGCAAAACAAAATTTATTCCTAATTACAGAGATAAACAAAAGAAAATCTAAGAAGTTCTCAATCCATCGTCACGGTCGCATCCTTTTTCGACATCTTCTACTGATTTTTCATTATCATCCTCTGGTCAAAGATAAGGGTGGAAAAATGCTTCATATCAATCCACTTGGGATAGATCAAGCCCTCCTTAACAATACTACGAGCGACTAAGGGCATGCTTGCATGGCGCTGCTGGGAGAGTCCCTCAACGTGCTCTTTGACAGTCACCGTCTTGGTCATTGTTATCTTCATCTTCTCGTTCTCCTTCTACAGAGCTATGATAGTCCCCTAGTGCTCCTTCACCTCATTCTCTTGACTCTTAGTAAAGAAGCTCAACCTCTTCTCTGTCTACATGGCCCTTTGATGTGCTTTCTACAACCACGCGGCTACATCGGTCATTACTTACTCAACAACCGCTTTCTTCTCCTCCCTATGACAGAAGGCCTTCGCCTAGTTTTGGGCGGCCGACCATGCCATCAAGTGCCACCGATCATTGAGTTGGTTGAGGTCCACTATGCCTAG